TCTTTCTTTGATCGGTCGGTCGCCCGTATCTAGAAGAACCGTTGACGGGGACAAAACCTGGTGGCTACAACGCGGAATGACAGGCGCTTTTATTTCTTTCTTTGATCGGTCGGTCGCCCGTATCTAGAAGAAACCATTCGCAACTATCCACCCTCATCTTCAAGCGCCAAAAACATTCTTCAAATGTATGATATTTTTTTTTATCAGTAACAATATATGTAGTAGAGAGTTTGTGAATATACAGATTCAACTATACTAAAAAAATATTATAACAAAATGGTTTGATTTTTTTCATTACAGGGTGAGATTGGAACATTTACCTACAATCCAATGAAAGATTTAAGTTATTTTCTGGTGATCACTGAGTCACTGGCCAGCGTTTCGTTGAAACGTATAACTATCATGATACTATTACTATCATAAAAGGCATAAAGTCAGTATTTTACTAGATTGAATTTGCAAATTCGAATCCCTAGGTCTAGACTCCAGATTTGTGCATGTCCGCAACTTCTGATCTTGACTGTGGAATTGCGTAACCCACCTCGATGTGTCTCCTTGGGAAAAGACACCGTTCACGGCCCCTTTGCAATATCATTTCTGTAAAGATACCCATCAAACAGATTTGTTTAATGGGTATCGGTCACAAGAAATTTTGTCGTCGCACGAGGTATTGCTAAATTGTACAACTAGCAACGGCTTAGCCCGCACCGGTTGCGTTACATCAAACGAAGCTTCTATTACCGTCACCGTTCCGCGTAAGTTTTCAAGACCACAAGTTACCGATCAAATTCTTTAAATACACGACCTTTCTCGAAGAAATTCTTTAACATTTGTTGGTGATTGGAAAAAAAATTCTATTTCACCATTCATAGATGTTAAAATCATCTTGCTGTTTGGTTAGGAAGTAACATTCATGGACGTTAGCAATTTTTTGTTTGAGCTCTCCATTCTTTTGAAAAACAAGGGGTGTGTTTGGATCCTTGTTTTTTGAGCTGTTTTTGAAAAACTGTTTTTCACATCCCAAATGCTACAGTAAATGTGTATTTCTAAAACAACTCCAAAAACACCATATCCAAACATTATATAAAAAACAACTACATATATATATTTCAATTATGTATATTATATATATATTATATTAATATAAATTGAAATATACAAATTGAAAATTATATATATTATATATTATATAAATATTTATATACATTAATATTATACATAATATATTATAATATACATAATATGTAATATTGTATACATAAATGTGTAAATATTTATACATAATATATTATGTACATTATATTATAATATATACATTATTAATGTATAATATTATTATGTACATTATTGTGTATAATAATGTCTAATAATGTTAGGTATAATATATAATATACATAATATGTAATAATGTAATAATGTATATTATGTATAATATATTATATTATATATATACAATATTATGTATATTATACAAATTGAAAATTATATATTATATATTTATATATTATATATTATATGAATATTTATATAATGAAATATACAATAAATATTACAAATTGAGATATTATATAAACACCATATTTATAATATTATAATATTTATAATTAATATTAATGTATATTATATATATTAAATATTTATATATTTATTTTTACATATTATAAATATTTTATTTTACTTAAAAAATATTTTTACATAATTATAATATATTTATATGAATATTATATATTATATAAATGATATATAATATAATATATATTTTACATTTATATAAATGTACATTTATACATAATATATATATTAATGTATATTTATAATATACATTTATATTATGTATTATACATAATATAATACATTTATATTAATATACATAATATTAATTTTACATTTATACATAATATTAATACATTTGTACATTTATATTAATTATATTAATACATTTATACTTAATATTAATATATATTAATAAAATTATAATTTATACATTTATATAATATTCATTTGTAATTTATACATTTATAATAATATACACTTTTACATTTATAAATATATTTATAATATTATTATATGTAATATAATACATTTCTATATTTTTATATAAATACATAAATATATTTATTTATAAATGTATATTTATATAAAAATATATAATTTATAATTTATAATTTATACATTTATGTAATATTCATTTATAATTTATAAATTTACAATAATATACACTTATACATTTATAAATATATTTATAGTATGTATTATATATAATATAATAAATTTATAATATATTTTTTAATTTTTATATAAATATATTTATTTATAAATATTTATTAATGTATTATAAATCCATAAATGTATATTTATATAAAAATATAAAATTTATAATTTATACATTTATATAATATTCATTTATAATTTATACATTTATAATAATATACACTTATACATTTATAAATATATTTATATTATGTATTATATATAATACATTTATATATTTTTTAGCGAATATATAAATATATTTATTTATAAATATTTATAAATGTATTATAAATGCATAAATGTATGTAAAAATAAAATTATAAAAATACCCAAAAATATGTTTTAAAAATACCTTTAAAAATAATCCAAAAAACATTTACAGTAAAAGTTTTTCATATAGTTTTTGAAAAACAACCTAAAAAACAACTAATCCAAACGGACTTGTATTTCAAAAACGAAATGCTACAGTGCTGTTTTTGAAAAACAACCCCAAAAACAACTAATCCAAACGGAGCCAAGGTTTTAAAATACAATATTATGATAATATATAAATAAAAATAATTTAAAAATATTCAAATATATCAAAATCAACTCCCAAATACATAAAAATTAAAAAAATTTATTTCTATCATCTTTTTTCATCGATTACCACCACCGCCTCTTCTTTCTTAACTCCTCCCTCTCCCTCTCTTAACTCCTCCCTCTCCCTTCCGCTTCCCTTATCTTTTCCCGCCATACCTTGCGTATTCTCTACCCCTGCTCTCAATCTAGTATTGACTATACCAAGTTAGATTGGAGAAGGAAGGAGGTAGATCGAGGAGAGGAGAATAAGCGGAAAGGAATAGGTGGCAGTAATGGGTGGTAGTGTTAATTTTATAAAAATATCTTAAAAACTTTTATACTCTAAAAAATTTCAAAAAATACCATAAAAAATATTTACAGTAAAAAATTTTCATATATATTGTTACGAAAAAATATTTAAAAAACAATCAAAAAACAGCTAATTCAAATGGAAATAAAAAGATATACAAGTGTCTATAAACACTAATTAGTATATCTCAAAAATGTCTAATTTGCCATGTAATATATATACATTTGATACTTTCCTAAATAAAAAAAATTTCTAAGAAAAGTAATAGTTGAGGTCTTACTTAATTTTTTTAAAGTAAAACCTGAATTAATGCCCCTCGCTCTCTTTATTCCATCCCATTATTTCCCTATTTCCCTACTTAAAAAAAAAAGGTTAACGCCTTGAAGTCTCTATTAAACAATACTACTAAAAACTAATCTTTATATCTAATACTAGGTGTGTTTTTCCGCGCAATGCGCGGGCGGCAGGTTAGTGTGGTTCAGTACTGGTTAGTCTTAGTATTTAAAATCTGCGCCGATGCTTAAAATGTACAGTGGGCTGTATTTAATGCTTAGTATTTTTTTTCATGTTTGCAGTTGTTGAATTTGATTTGGTTAGTATTTTTTATTGTCTTTATTAACTAATAGTGTATTGTTTTCATTAATAGGTAAATAATACTTCTAGCCAAATTTTTTTGGTCTGAGTTTGTTATCCTTTCATTTGTTTATTTTAAGTGTACGTCACATTCTTTAGCAGCAGAGTAATTTTTTCTGCTATTCACATGCGCACAGTTCGTATTTGTTTGAAAGTGAGACGTGGAGTATAAGTATGAGCTGGTTTGCTGAGTTTAAGTTGTTGGTTCTTTAGCAGCAGAGTAATTTTTTCTGCTATTCACATGCGCACAGTTCGTATTTGTTTGAAAGTGAGACGTGGAGTATAAGTATGAGCTGGTTTGCTGAGTTTAAGTTGTTGGTTTACGAGATTTTGTTTTCGTGACAGGTGAAATAATGGCGGTGAACGATGAAGTATTTTCAACACTTCAAGATTGTAGTGCTGTACAGATTTTGAAGTTTTCTTTATCAGATGCATAGAGTTTATAGATAGTTCACGTGAGCAGTGTGTAATAAATGGTTTTGTCTCATTGAGTTCAGATGCATGTGATTTTTTTTCAGGGGTGCATAAATGTTGGCTTTGGGAATCTTTGGGATCAGGCATGCAAACTCACTGTCTATTTTGTGTATATATATATGAGCATAGGATGTAGATGTTTTTTTTCGTGGTTTAGAGATGGAGTATACTCATAATCGTTTTGCGGTATTACGTGATTTGCATCCTGATGTTGAAGTCATGTTCAATCGATTGTCATTAGCTGGTGTGGTGGGGTCTTTGCCTGGCCATAATGGAGATACCACCTGTTTGAATAGTTCTAACAGGGCCTTGGCAAATAATATTTTGCTGCGGAATGAGATATATGACTTGTTTAAGAGTTTTTATCGAAGATCTGAGAGGATTGCCGTGTTGGATGAAGTTTTGGGAGATATTGGAGAATTTCCTTTTCTTCAGATAATTGCTCACCGCATGCAAGTTGAGGTCGAAGAACAGAAGAAAGCTGCTGAGAGTGCTATGATTTAGTGGTTTTCTGGGCTTTTTTTGTGTTTCATATGTACTAATTATTATGTGAAGATGTTGGGGCCATTAGTTTGTGGCTTGCACTATGTTGAAGGATTTGGATCTGTGTATTTTGTTTTGGTACTTTGATATAATGTAAGTGTTTGTGTAATAAATTTACCATATTAGATGTTGTGATTGTGTTATTGAATTGGAGTTTAGATATAATGAAAGTATATGAGGTTCGTATCTAGTTACTGGTTATAAGTCTATAATCACAGGTTAATTATTTCGAGAAATGAGCTGACCATTTTTTAACAGTAACGTGAAATAGTATTCATCAATTACATGGTATTTCAAAATCATAGTTAGACATCTGATTTCATTTTCAGCACTTCAAAAGCACAGCTACATATCTGATGATGCTATACAAAATGTTCAAAAACATAATTGGAGCTGTGGTTTAGAGTAGGGTAGACTAATTCCCTGGCGTAGACCTTTTAGCAAGGCACAAACGATAGCCTATGTACATTGATGGAGATGGCAGTTCATCAGATGTTCAAAAGGTTGGTCAAAAGCTTTGATGCAGATAGTTTGGAGTAGGGTAGACTAATGCCTTGGTGTAGACCTTTTAGCAACCCACAAACGATAGCCTATGTACACTGATGGAGATGGCAGTTCATCAGATGTTCAAAAGGTTGGTCAAAAGCATAGATGCATATACTATATCTACAGCTCCATGTCAGTCGGGTCAGTGCGTTGTTTCTTAGTTGGAGTTTCTGTGATTTTGAGTGTTGTGAACAAATTGCTGTCCAAATTTGTTGCTCCCCTGTAACTTTGAGCAGTTGCATTGAGAATTGTTGAACTGGTGGTCAAGTTCGATGATTCTGGAGCTGTAAGTGGATTTGTAGAAGGAGTGGAAGTTGAAGCTGAATTTCTAGAAGTGCTTGATATTAGTTCTGCAGCATTTGCTTTGTGCACTATGATAGCTGCGTATTTTTCTGTGTCGGCAGGTCCACGATTTTCAGTCATTTTTTTCACGAAGCAGGTGAGGATACTACTCTCAATAGCCTGTTCAATAGCTGTGTAATCAAGCTGATGCTGCAATATTTGTGTTTGAGTATTAGTCTATACAATGTATATGAGTTTATGTTTAACTGGAGGTTGGTAAGTTTTGCATATGAATGTATACTGACCTTGCTTTCGAGTTCTTGAATCTGTGGCAGTGTGAAGGGCAGTAGTTGCTGTGCATCATTGTCATACAAATCAAGTGTGAGGTTTCCAGAGTAATCAGCCAGCTCTATGGTTAACCTACTCCTGTAATTGTTGTTGGTAATTAGTGAAACAATGTTTATTGAAGTAGTTTGTGAAGTTGCTGTTGTGATGGTTACCTTGGAAGAATGTTAACATTCTTGTTGCAGGAAGTGCAAATAATCTTCCATTGAGGTTTAGCTCTGAAGGATTTGTGACAGTTTGAGCATGCATTATACCATAGCCGTTGGCTTTTGTCAAGGAATCGTGGGCTTCCTTGAATCCAATAAGCTTTTTTCTGAGAAGAAATAAGACTCTAAGTTGCCTAATTTGGTAGATAAGTGAATGAGCCAAGAAGTTAGATTTCTGAAAGTTCCAGAAGCTCACCATTGGTAAATTCAGGAACTCTTTGATAGTGCAGAGCTCATCTTCTGTAGGTTGTGGTAGTAGGCTGGTTCGGTTTAGGTATGCTCTCTGTGTTATGAGGTCATTGATCTGTGTTTTGTTTTCCATAGCCCTTGTGAGCAGATATCAATTGTTAGTTATAAGAATATTGCAAATACTCTGTTATAACATATCGGAGGACAGTTTAATTGAAGCAAGCGCCTACCATTGCCTCAACATTGAACCTTGTTGTATTGGGGGGTTCACCAAAACACTGGAGCCAAACTTTGTTGAGAGATTTAGAGCTGCAGTTTTATGTAATTGAAGATGATATTAATATTCTAAGATGTGGTGAAGTATATGAATGGTGGATTTGTGATATTTTGAGCTATACTTACTGTGGTATGATGAAACTCTCAGTCGAAGGCCAACAATGAGTGGCATTGATTGAATCATGTTGGCAATTGCTTGGCCTTCATCTGTCTCGTGATCACCCCAGAGAGTTAGGATGACTGGCATGAAGCTGCAATGTATTTGATTAGATGTCTAAAATTAGTTTTTTTATATCTATCTATTGAATTTGGTGGCACAATCTATATAGACTGATTACTCTCTTTACAATAATGATTACCTTTTGTCTATGATTACAATCTCTCTAGTTGGGGTAGTGCCTTTGTGAAATCGTTGATGGACCTCTGCGACAATGCCAAGTATATCTGTTCTTTGCATTCATCAAGGAGAAATTAATTAGCAGTTTTTCAAATATGAGATAGTTATATATCTGAGTTTTGCATATTACCTATGTCTGACGTATCATCAATGTGTTGGTAGAATCTTCTGAAAGGAGTGAATCTGAAAACAGGAGGAATTTCTGGGGGATTTGGTTCATCCATTGCCTGGACAACAGTGGAGTTGTCAATATACCAAGTACATTGATTTTCACGTACACGATATTCCAGTGGAGTATATTCAACTCTTGCATTGGACAGCATGTAACGCATATACAGGCGAAAGTGGTTGCGAAAGAATTCTATGTCTGATTTGTATATCATAGCCTCCACTGTGGTGCCCTGTACAAAAGGTTTGGTTCCATTCAAATGTGAGATGTATTTTGAGGTGTAGTAAGAATTCAGGAAGTTTTGTAGTGTATTTACCTGCCCATCAATGAGTGTAAGCTTCTGATAGCGATTTCCTGCTTTTGATAGGAGCGGCTTCTGTTTGTCAAGAACCTGAACTATTGTTGTCCAATCTCGAAGTCCAGGAATAATTTCAGCAAATGCTATGACTTTTCTGTCTTCCTGTAACTTGAAAGAATAATTGGTGGATGATTTTGTGAAAAAAAATATAGAAACAGAATACAGATAATATAATAGAGTGGCACGTGTGTGAGTGAGCAAATCATTCATGTGCTAAATCGAGGACCTCTTTATACACTACATTATTTGTTATTGAGTCTTGTTCAGGATCAAATATAGGTGGTTTGATGAGCATTTTAATTGAGTTTTTATTTTTTGCTCTGGACATTGCCACATATAGCTGTCCATGTGAGAAAACTGGTTCACGTAAGTATATTCCCACAAAATCCAACGTCTGGCCTTGAGCTTTGTTAATAGTCATTGCGAAACAGGGTCGAACAGGAAACTGGATGAGTTCAAAAGATACTGGAGAGTCTGGATTGGTCTCAATTCTGAAGCATATTCGATGGAGAAAGACCTCTTTCCCAGTGAACTCTCCACAACTTATTACTGCATGTATAATGTTAGAGTTTAAAGATTTGCAGATGAGCCTCGTTCCATTGCACAATCCTTGGGGGGGATCAATGTTTCTGAGCAACATAATTGGACAATGTGGTTTGAGGAGCAGCCTGTGAGGAGGAAATCCATTGGGTGTTAAGGCATTCACGAAATCCTCCATGATTGTCTGTTCAGAATCGTCAATGCATTTGTCCCTACTGATGTATTCTTGGACCTGTCCAGGTAATTGATGTATGATTTTCTGGTTGATGTCATCAACAAATTCGTTCTTTGTTGTAAGTATAGCACGGTTCACGGCTGAAAAATCATCATGGAAGAATGCCATTAAATCCGGGAATACAGCCTTACTGAGCTCTGTGATGGAATCTTCGTCATTTGTGTATCTTATCAGCAATGCAGTATGTATTTGGATAGAGTTGTTATTGATAACAGGCTCTGTTCCATTTCCAATACGGAGTAGATATTCAATGAACTCAGGATCATGTCTTGCTCTCATATTCTCTGTCAGGTGAAGTTTATGAAGTTGTGGCCATATATATGAATTTACTATGGAAGCATCAATAAAATCCACTTTTGTGCCTTTAGTAACAACCGGTAATACCTGACGAAAATCTCCTCCAAAGACAATTACCTTTGATCCAAATAAGTCATTGCAGTCCATTAAATCTTGGAGTAATCTATCAACAGCTTCTATTGAGATTTTATTCATCATTGGAGCTTCATCCCAAATTACAAGGCTGGCTGATTTTAGAAGTTGTGCTGATGAACTTTGTTTGCTGATTCTGCAGTTGGTATTTTTGGTTGTATCTAATGGTATGTTGAATCTTGAGTGAGATGTTCTTCCACCAGGTAATATTGAAGCTGCTACTCCACATGATGCTGTAGCAAGTGCTATGAATCCTTTTGATCTCACTTCAGCTAAGAGTGCTCGATAGAGAAATGTTTTGCCTGTTCCGCCTGGGCCATCAATAAAAAAACAACCCTTCTTTATTTTGAACACTGCATCGATAATTATATCAAAAGCAATTTTTTGGTCACAGTTTAGTTGATAAATTGCTTGGAGATCAGATTCTTGGACAGTGATTGTTGTTTCTGCTGTTGTGTCTCTTGTGTTCTTGTTCATATGATTAAAGTTTAGAGCATGTGGAACCAGAGCATATGAGTTGATGTCTTTTCCCATTGATTGCAAAAAATTATTTATCTGTTCAAGTACTTTGTATCGTATTTGATCAGGTGTAAATTCTGACATTCTTATGAAATCTTCTGATAAAGAATATTCAAATTTTTTCCAAAGGTATCTACTATCTGATGGAGGAAAGTGTACCAGGAGAGTTGCAAATAGCCTTCTCAGTATGTATGGCATATGGTACGAGCTAGCTTCTTCAAGACATTGCTCCTGCGACGTATCTGATTCAAAATAGCCTCTAAGGATAGCTGCATCACGGAATGTACTGATATATTTTCCATTGATTGTCTTGAGGTCATCGAATGATGTTGGAGCTCTAACATGTGTTAGGAGTAATCTAAGAAAGTAACGTTCTCCTTCTCCTATGCTTGCTGCGACAATTCTACCAATAGAATGCTTTTGTTTTCTGGGTTCCCATTTCTTCTTGCCAGGGTACCAAATGAAGTGTTCTGGGAATTCTTTGTACGTGCACTTAAGATGCTGAGCCAGTTTGTCCACTGAATTCATATAGAAGAATTCTGTTAACATGGTTCTTTTTGCATGCCTTTTCCTCACCACATCTCGAAGGTCCTGATCGGGTGTGAAATTCATTGCTTGGCAATTTTCTAAGTGGAGCTGGAGGTGAATGACAGAAGGATGGATTTCACTTAGCTGGAATCTGAAGATTCTCCAAGTTGCCTCTACTGCACATACCCATCTAGCCGACTGGAATTCCCTTATTTCATCAATTGCAGATGGTTGGATGTTAGAATCTGGTCGATCAGAAGCATCTGAATTTACTCTAAAACGTATTCTGTCATGCCCCTTATATATATACTTGTATATATACTTCACGGCTTTCACTGTGGAGCAAATTTCTACATTTATATGACAGTCAAATTTTGCTAACAGATATCCATTGTATGGAACTACCCATCTATTATCCAACTCATGTCCGCGAACTATTATTTTCTTTCCATCTTTCCTTCTGCGATAAGTGGGATATGTATTCTCTCCATGGAAGGTTGTATCAGCAAATGGCTTTGGGTAATTATTTTTGCACTTCTTCTTCTGACTTCCTTGCATACAAACATTATCTGGATTTTGTTTTCCGCAAGGACCATGGATCATATGCTTTCGGACCATATTAAATAAATGTCGATTGGGCATCTTATCAGGAATTTCTGCACTCACAATGTTATCATAAGATTCTGTGGAGTAGAGCTTGGACCCTGCTTTCAAGATTATGAGAAAATGAGCATGGGGCAGACCACGTTTTTGAAACTCAACTACATAGGTATAGGCAGCTACTGGTCCAAAGATTTCTTTTCTGAAGAGTTCTTCTTTGAGAAGATCAAGTTTAGCATGAAAAATCCGAGCTAATAAGTCTGGTCTGTTATGAGCCTCATCAGTAGGAAGCATATGTTGTTTGATCTCAGGCCATGAAGGGTTGCAGGTCATTGTAATGAACAGATCTGGTTTGCCGAATTTTTGTACAAGAGCCATGGCGTCAACATATCTTCTCCTCATATCACGTGGACCACCTATAAATGAAGCTGGGAGGATTACTCGCTGCCCTACCCTTGATCCCTGGCAATGCCCTGCTACTACACTGTCCATTATACCTTGAAGCTGCTCTATTCTTATTAATTCTTGTCGATTCTTATAGTAATCAAGTCTCTGGGTTTCTATCTTTATATACATATCAATCACATATTGTTGTAGCAGTCTGCCAGTATTAAGTACACTTGGAGTATATTTTTCTCGCATCTGCAATTTATATGAATAATACTCACGCATTGATACAAACTCCTTATTGTTTTCCAGATCGTTACAACCTGCAATACAATTGTTCAATGTAAGCATCATAATATTTATAAGTATATACTGGAGAATATAATTCTAGATTATGATTCTATGCATACCTTGCTCCTCAGCATCTAGTAGCTCTTGTGCAGATCTGTAATTAGGAAAAGGAGTAGTGCAGCTAGCTTTTTTGTTGCATCTCTTTCTCTTCTTTGGATTTTCCATAGTTATCCTTCTTATACCAGGATGCCATCCAGTTTCTCCAAGCGGGAATAACAGTGGATACTGCAATGGATCATAGCATCCATAATAGTATTGTAACAGGTGGTCTTTACCCTCTTTTGTATAGATTTGAATATGTCTCGTGTATCCTTCTTTAAATTCCTGACCCTCCACCCATAAAGCTGCAATTTGAGATGCAGTTGGTTGGTTGAAGACCCTCTGATCATTTTCTGAATGGGATTTAAGTACTATCTGGTATGAGTCAAGATCTGGAACATGTTTTAAGCTTCGAAGAAAAGAAGCGTAAGGATTGGATTCCATCATATGCATAATTTTTTTTACTATACTCTCTGTCAGCTTCTGTGATATAGCTAGTCTGTTTTCTAACTCATGGTCTGTGTCATGGAAATATAGCTGCAGATAGACGCCAGAACCTCCAGATGGAATCAGATCTTTGATGAAGTGATAAGTTTGTCCTTGGACTTTGAATGTGTAAATGCCATTAGTTCTTTTGCAGAGGAATTTATCATAATGCACTCCAAAAGAGGTGAAGCCAAACATGTTGTTGTATGTCCTGACATATGTTCTAAAAGAAGCAGCTTCATCAGACCGACCAGTATATAGTTCTATCAAAATATCCGAAAGTTTGTTTTGCTGGAGAACCACTTCACCATTAGAACAACAAAAATTTGGTGTTTCAGAATGGAACTTTTTTGCCTCACAGTAACTGCAATGTGGCTTTGAAGGCAACATGTCTGGTTCATCGTTAATGAATTTCAATGCTCCAATCCCATCTGGATTTGTTCTCCCTACAATACATTCAATGTAATTGTAACTATTGAACAGAAGAGTAGAGGTTTGGAACAGAACTCTACATGTACAATAAACTATATTCAAAATACCTTTTGGTCTCTTAGTTGTCTTATTAACGGTCTGAGTTTTTTCCAGCACTGATTTTGTGTTGGCTGTACATTTATTCAGAAGATTTTGTCAACGGTGAGAAGTAGACTGATGGTGTAGCAAGTATTACAATAATGAAACTTGGTGACAGAGGACAACCTAAACCTCCATTTTTGTTAGCAGTAGATCCTAGTAACTGTCGAGTAGCCTGATATCGTGTAACAAGTGATGACAGTTCTATAAAGAGGAACCCATCGTGTCACTTACAGTAAACAAACTGAATGTAATTTAAGAAGAAACAAAATATATGACGGTACTGAAGCATCAAATACCTGGAACTTGTTCAATACTCTCTGGAGAGAAGTTGTAGCAGCTCATACAGACAAATGAGTTAGCTGTAAGTTTAACATAAAGAATAAATGAATAAGTATGAAGAACCTGGTGGCCAGTTATATGTTCAAAAATACATTTCTATGGCCAATAAAATCTGGCAATATTTAATACAAAGTTAGGTAAAGTAGTGGTCCACCTGAAGTGTATGGAGTAGTATGATGTGAGCAGACATGCTTGTGGTTCGTGCCTGAAGAACTACCTGCAATTGAAGAATGTTAGAACAATACAATGGTATTTTGAAGCAACAGTTATGATAATGGTAGTAATACTTCTATAAAAGTAACAGGGATGAAGACCTTGTTCATAAGTGGAAAAGTGAGACACACTGTTCTTTAATTTTGATCCACCAGATTGACTGTTACATGCAGAGAGCTGAGGATTAGGAGAGGCAATTTTGGTGACATACGCATCAATTTTCTGAGCAGATGCATTTCCATGAAGATTTGGAGCTGCAATAGAGGGTAAACAGAAACTCAACATGCAGACAACAAAAAAAAAGAAAGGGTGAACGAAGCTTGCGAAACATACATGTGACACATCGACCATGTTCACTTAATTCTGACATTAATATCTTCGTCCGTGGCAACAGGTTATTGCATCGGTGGAAATAGCTACCATCAGCACAGTTGTTAGAAATAGCTAGTAAACCAGAGCCTGGAGTATCTGATGGTCTGGAAATCTGCTGAGATTGTTCAGCAAGTGGCTTGGACAAGAGTTTGCTTAACTTTCTTCTGTGATACGCATCTCTATTTTTCTTTCGATGAGCTTCTTTTTCTTCTACCGACAGAGCAGCAAATCTTTCTCTCTTTTTTCTATTCTTCTCAGATTTTTTTCTCACGGACATTCAGAGCATTGTTAGGTGGATGTAACTTAGAGGAACTCATGTTGTCCGTATTATAATGGAAGAGATTTTTTATAATATAATTACACAGTGAATAAAGTAGGAGCTTGTTAAGCGTGATAAGCAGAAAATACTGATAGCAACAACAGCAAAAACGACCGACATAAACTATGGACTAACAGACCTGTTAATAAATCTAGCAAAACAATACCTCCATTGGTAGCTAAGGCAGACAGCAGTGCAGCAAATTTGTTGGAGAGCTGAATAAAAGATATTAAAGCAGTAACCGTAGAATTTCTGATAAACAAAGAAACCAGAGAGACGGAAGTTCAGAGAATACCTTGCGTGGGAATTGTTGTATTCAAAAGAACCGAGAACAAGGTTTACATGGAAGTCAAAGCTGAAGTATGCAGTCGATTTTGCATGAAGACTGTTTGTATCTTACAAGTCAATGAAAGAAATGGGAAATTACAAATATAACCAAGCGGTGCCATGCAATGATGCAGAAAACAGATACTGTCCAGAAGAATTTGGTAAACAGCAAAGGTAAATGGCCGACAATTAACAAAAGCTAAGCATGAATTGTAAGCAAGAGCTGAATGATACATGACACGTATGTTTTTGAAATGATGATAATGATAGGGAACCTGTGTGTCTACATAAATTTTCGTTCAATAGTTGAGCTAAATAATACGTAAAAAATTGTAAACAATGACACGTATGTTTTTAGATAACAAGGAACCTATGCACTTACCTAAATTTTCGTTGAAGTGAGTGGATTGTTTTATCTCTTTACATATAAAAAATAATAAAGGATTACAATAATAAACGATTTACAGAAACATGTGATTAAATTTTTTATCTTAGATATATCTCTATTTTATATATCTCTATTTTATATATCTCTAAATATACATATATATATATATATATTTTATCTTAGATATATCTCTAAATATACATATATATATGTATATACAAAATGCCTTCAGCATACACAATGGTTTTTTTTACAAACGAAAAAAAATATATATATGTATATAATATAAAGGAATATTATACGTAGGATATATATATAACTCTCTGAATTTCTTAAAAGTCGGGGCCCATAAGTGGCAGGAGCACAAAACACAATCCAGAAAATATGCAGTGCACTTGAAGCTCCACCTCAGGTACAACAGCTCTAGCAAAGGTTTCAGCACTCAAAAGTACAACACATGGAAGCAAAGTGGCACTTGAAAATAGCTGCACCGTAGAAACACAAAGTGCTTCTTATGTATATGTAAGGATTTTCCCTTGAGAAGGGGTTAAATGTCTAAAACACTTGTTTGGATGGCCCTTTTTTTCTTAAAAAATTTTATGTTTTTCGTGAAGGTAATTTTTTAATTATCTTTTTATTATATATATTAAATTATTACAATATAATTTTTTTACAAACACTCCAAAAAATATTAATTCAAATGGGACACACCTTTGGAAAGGAAGGGAATGAGAGACAGAGAATATCTACGGAACAGCTTATCAGTTATCCGTCGAGGATAGCGTAGATGAAGTAGACAAACGGGGGACGGTGCGTGGACACTAGAGCGTGCAATGTACAGTTACGTACGATATGAAAAAAGGAAATACTACAGCTGGATAAGCGCTGTGGCGGGTGAGACGTTGCCAACTAGGCTCAAAAGGGACAAGTGGACAAATGCGATGCGAGTCAATTATTATAAAGTCTGGGGTCGTCCCCACCGTCTCACGGCCCTCTGGATGAGAATTCCGGGTCAGCAATCCTAATCTAAATCTGGTGAGACGTTATTCAAAAGTTTGAAATGAATCAGTACTTCGTTTGTTGAAAACAAAAAAGATAAATGAATTACTTTCTCTTCTAGAATGTCTGAGTAAGCGGTCCAACCAAATTGTACAACTAGCATTTTGCATTTTGATTTTATCTGCTGAAACAGGATTGATTGACAGCTAAAGGAGTGGGTAGAAAAGAGTGGTTTAGTTTTCTCTACATTATATCATTTTAGACAAGCAAGGTTAATTTAATCCAACATAAATGACTTTGTCAAGAAGCAATACAGGCAGCTAATAAATCACCTCTTTTTTCTTTTTTTTTCTTTTTTAACTTTTTCGTACAAATTAAGGAGAGGGAAACACCTCTCAGCATGCGATCATTTCCCTAATCTGTTTTACTGCATATTGAAGTAAAGACATTCCCGTGTGGGGGGTTAAGACCTGGGAGGGAGTGTGAGGGTGCTCTTTCGTTGCGCGTGCATGGACTCAATTTTCCAAAATCCTCGATCACAAAGACCACGGAGAGTGAGGAATGGTGGCTCTTTGCTGTTTTCTTTCAAGCTGAATGGTAGCTCACGACAGGACGAATTAAATGCCTCAAAACAAGCAAAGAGTTCCAGTACATATGGTAGTTTGAGCAGCGCCACATTGAAATACGTTAATTCGAAATCAGTTTCATTGTAGCAAATGAACCTGGCTGTCTGTACCCAGGCATAAATCCGCAAATCTCTTGTTTTGGAAGATCATTACAATGATTTTTGTCTGCTATATATAAGCAGAAATTTGTGAAGAAGAACCCGGTGTTATGCGAGCGTAGAGCTGTTAATTGAAACGAGCAGATCGAAAGCTCGATTGAACTCGACTCGATAAGGTTCGAAGTCGAGATATGCTCGTTTAATTAACAAGTCGAGTAAACTCGACTCGTTTGTTATTTAAATAGTTTGATTGGTCTCGATAAGGAAGGGTATGTATGTCATTTCACAATTCAAAAGTATAAAAATTGAAAATTACAGATTTTTAGTGGAGTTAATTTGCACGAGTTTGAACTCGTGTGAGTTTGGCTCATTTGTGATAAACGAGTCGAACTCGAGCTATATGTCACATTCAGCGAGACGAGTCCGAACATATTTCAAAACTTATCCGCCTAGTTGAGCGAGCTAGAACTTGAGTCGAATTAAATTCGAGTCAAGCTCGACAGCCAAATACTCGGCTCAACTCGACTTGATTAACACGACTTGATTAACAGCTCTATGCGAGAGCATTTGCCTTCCTATGCTCGTGCGGGTGCGGGCATGCCGACACCAGTTAACAAGCATACAGGTGCATAGTTTCTGAAACAAAAAAAAAAAAAAAAAAAAAAAAAAGGTAGAGAGGTGCATGGGTTTTTCCCCTTTTTACTTTTGAGTGCCGAATTCTAAAGCCATATTAAAATTTAGACTCGGAGCCAGTGTTTTCAACACTTTTTATCTTGTTCATGCTATTGATGTATTTGTTATTATAACATTTGGCCTACAATCAAATTATACTGCTATATCGAATACCATGAAACATTTTATTTGTGTAGACTATTTTTTTCCCCAATACAACAGTATCACATGATTACACACTAAATAATGTAACAAATACAATAATAATACAGAATTGGACTGAAGTACAAGCTTACCTGCCCCAAATTCATAAAATTTGTTAATTCCTTCATCCCACTTTAATAGGCTTATATTTCCTTTCCATCCGTCCCAAATTATAATTTATTTTTTCATTTAAGCATGTAATTAACTTACAACTTCTCTAAAATACTCTTATTTAATATAGGTTGTTATTGAATACAACCTAACTTATTTAATGTAAAAATAATCAGTAATAGTCCATTTGATGCAACTAAGGGTGTTTTAGAAAGATAGTGAATTAGATTTATTTTTTCAACAAAATTAACTGAGTAGCTTTTATTAAACTGTGCGAGAGACAAAAAAAAAAAAAATCAAACCTATCAAGCTGCATACCCAACCCGTAGCAGGACTAGTAATTTACCGGCCAATCGTCCGTTGACTAATCACTACACGTTGCGCGTCTCATCGCCATTCAATAAGCAACATAACCTCTCATATAAAGTGTGTGCGTATGTGTGGTTTTTTGGGGTTAATCAGCATCATCGGACGGCGGCATCACAGTTGATCATCATTAAGACCAGGACATAAATTCTCTGAAATCAGAAATGTTGATACGCATAGGTCTTGCATCTATGCTCCATTAGAGTATACCATTAAACATTAGAAGAAAGATGCGTCATCAAAACTGTCAAAATATCACTCCCGGCCTTAATTGCGTACGACATTTGCTTCTTAAAAAAAAAAGGGTTACATTTCAAATAAAAATGAAAAAAAAGGAAGAAGAAGGAGGGGGGAGAAGATAGATCCTACCTTTTATCCAGTAATCTATAGCAAAATGCAGAACGAACACCCTTGCTATATAACTCCACTCCAATTTCAACTTTCAAGAACCAGACCCTAGTCTCCTTTCTTGCATGCTGCATGCTACATGCTACATGCTTTGCTAAAAGGGCAACTTAAAAGAGAAATAATATAGAGAGAGAGAGAGAGAAAAGGGAGGAGTTTTCGAATTTCAATCACTAAGATAAGAAGATCGGGGAAGAAACTCACTCTAAAGAAATGGAATTTAATGGCGGACACCGTCTCCATGTGGTAATGTTCCCATTTTTCGCATTCGGTCACATTAGCCCATTTGTTCAGCTGTCGAAGAAGCTATCCTTGCATGGCGTCCAGATCTCTTTCTTCTCTGCACTCGGCAATGTCAACCGCATCAAATCCATGCTCCACTCAGATTCAGCACCCACAACAACCCAAGTCATCCCTCTCACTCTCCCACCCGTCGAGGGTCTTCCCCCGGGCCTGGAGAGCACCAGCGATCTCTCACGTGCTCAGTCCGAGCTCCTCAACCTAGCACTCGACCTCATGCAGCCTCAGATCAGCTCCCTCTTGTCCCAACTCAAACCCCATTTCGTACTCTTCGATTTCGCCCAGGATTGGCTCCCGCCTCTTGCTTCTCAGTTAGGCATCAAAACCGTCTTCTACTCCATATTCGTCGCTCTTTCTACCTCTTATCTCACCGTCCCCGCCAGGCTACCTCGTTCTACCGCTTATCTCGCAAGACCTTCTGCGATTGAAGACTTGAAGAAACCGCCACCCGGGTTCCCGGAAACCTCCATCAAGTCCGTGAAAACCTTCGAGGCGCGGGGTTTCCTGTACATGTTCAAGAGCTTCTACAGTGGGGCCAGCGTGTACGACCGGGTGCTCAGAGGCCTCAACGGCTGTGACGTCATCCTCGCCAAAACATGCAGAGAGATGGAGGGCCCCTACGTTGACTACGTGACGCAACAATTCAAGAAGCCCGTGTTACTGGTTGGGCCGGTGGTTCCGGAGCCGAGCTCCGAGCCTCTGGAAGGGCGATGGGCTTCATGGCTGGGTCAATTCGAACCCAAGTCCGTCATATACTGTTCATTCGGGAGCGAAGCATTTCTGAGTGACGAA